GAAGGAAGGAAGGAAGGAAGGAAGGAAGGAAGGAAGGAAGGAAGGAAAGGAGGGAGGAAGGAAGGAAGGAAAGGAGGGAGGAAGGAAGGAAGGAAAAAAGGAAGGGAGGAAGGAAAGGAGGGAGGGAGGAAGGAAGGGAGGGAGGGAGGAAGGAAAGGAGGGAGGAAGGGAGACAGGAAGTCAAAGAAGACATGCTACTGTATGTCCTGAAGCCAGATGTAGTATTGGGGTACACATCTAATTCTAACACTTGAGGGGTTGAGTCTGGAGGATCACAAGTTCACAGCCAGACTTGGCTACACAGAAAATCCTACCCAAAATAATTTGTATCCTTCAGAGATGAAATGAAAAACGTAGGAAATATTGTGAATAACTTTATTCAAGAAATTTGACATTTTAGAAGGAATGCTCAAATTTCATGAATATAACTTACTAAAGCAAACATGAGATGAAAGAGAAAACCTGAATAACTTTTTACCTGTTACACTGAACTCATTATCAAGAGCCTTCCCACAAATATGCCTGAGAAGAAAAGAAGCAGCCACAGCTAAACTGGGAGATATTCTGCCCCAGTTTCTTCAACCAAAGGTCTAGAGATGCCGTACTGTGGGAAGTTTCAGGGTGCTGCACCCACAAACTATGGTGCAGTGAGTGCTACTAAAGTAATAAAGAAAATAGGGTGCTGGCCATAGGGATATTAGGAAATGAGTGATAGAGTTTGCTGTGTGCTTTTCCAGGAAGATGATAGCGTAGTGGTTATGAGCATAAAAACCAGGCTCTGATATAAACCACAGCACTTAAGGTGATAGTTTATTAAATCTGAGGTTTTAAAAGATGATCCCCTGACCGTGCATGTGGAAAATGGAAACCTGACCATCCCTGACCGCTGAAGTGGGTGACCAGAAGATACTACCATGCCCAGTCTCAGTAAAGCAGCCCCCAAGAAGTCACAGCACCAATCCTGGCCCTAGCAACCATCACTCAGACTTGTGCACTGCACTGCCTCCTTCCTAACCACTACTCACATAGGCCTGGTCCTCCCGACTCCAGGACCTGCAGAACGTCAGCCAAAGCAATGTGCCCCATAGAACCTATAGCCAGATTATGTTCACACTTAGACGGTCATCCAGGGATCATCTATGGTTTGTGGATGTAATTTTCTGGGCACAGGTCCTCTTTGCAGCAGCTTGGCACTGTCTCTAATGTGGACCCATGCCTCAGGACCTTATTTCTCTGATCAGAGGCTAAGTGTGATGCTAGATTCTAGGTGCCCACCCTGATATACACCATGTATTCTGATACACACTTAGAGTACATGAATACATGGACATAAGTTTCCCCACTGCCCCGTGGAATCATCTGTAAAGGCCTTTCCATGCCTTAGGGCTAGTCTTTGTAGGGATATACAAGCACATTGGCAGGATGAGGGTTGGAGGCAATCAAGAATATGCTTCTGAAGTCTTTTCTTATGGATCTAGCTACTCTGTGAGTCATCAGAGAGGGGCTTCTCTGTGCGCTGTAAGAAAGATAATATGACCGGAGTCACCACTGCCAGGACCTCCACTGTTACCTTGTACTTAGCATATTCTACGTTCACAGTAACAAGAGCCCCTTCTCCTGGGCAATGTGGAGTCACAGGACTGACTTCAGGGCCATAGAAACAAGTGGTCTAGGCAGAGACAGAGCCCATTGCATAGGTATGATGGGGTTCATGGCCTGTTCTCTTGAAGACATTCAGAAGTCCCTCCACCTTCAAAGATAGGCAGCCCAGTGCCCCACCCCACTAGCACAAAGGATACAACATAGGCAGCGTATTTCCAGCTCCTTGGCAGAAAGGGAATGAAGATCCCAAAGGCAGCAACGAACATGACCAGAGAGGTGGTCCAGGATATTGCCTGGAAGGAGTGGAGGGGCGGTGACCAGCCATTCACCCTGGATAAAGGGGGTGGTAGGATCTTCTTCACATTGCTGGCCTGGGCTTCTGGGAGGACCCTGTTCCGGTTCATGCCACAGATGCTTATCTGAGAGATAGAAAGGGCACAAAGCATTCTGTCCCTGGGCATAGAATGAGTGGCCTGCAATACCACTTGTCACCGTCAGGGAGGTCACCAGGACCTGGGTCAAAGGCCGATATCTATATGGCAGGTTGGTATAGCTGACTAGGCTTGGCAGGAGATCTTTGTCTTGACAGATAGGTTTGTAGCCCCCAAAATAGTGGGCACACAAAATAGTGGGATATGTCTATCCTACTTCTGTGGGCACAGCTGTCCATGAATAGACCCTTGGTTGGGCCAGACCTGATAGAGCATCACCTCTCTCCTTGACACAATTCTGTCCTGAATGTTCAAGTGACAAATACCAGAAAATACATAGAGAACATCTAATTGCGAATCAATACCACACCAGTTATGTTTTAAAGGGGCATTTATTTTGGGGGGTAAACTTACATGCACATAAATCGTCAGGAAAGGAGCCTAGTCGCTGGAGCAGGAGCCGGAACCAAGCGCCGGAACCAAGAGGCCGAGCCAAGGCTTGCCGCTCTTCTTTTAAAGAGAAATATACCACACCCCAGTGGGCTGGTATTTCAGCAGCTATTGGCTGACAGAGCGGAAGGCGCTCCCGCAGCACTGTGGGCTCGTGCTTCAGTGACTATTGGCTGAAGCAGTGGAAGGTACTCCCACAGCACCTCCCCCTTTTGTTTAAGTAAGAGAGTTCTAAGCCTACTATGAAATTATATACAGTAAGTACAAACCTACACAATTATATACAATAAGTACAAATATCCTATTCTAACTAGCTAAAGTCTTGTATAATAAATAACTTGGCCAAGTCCTGAGAGGAAAGTAGCTACATTTATCTATAATGTTACCTGAGTAATTAGGAAGTGCAATCAAAGAACTTCCAAAACATGCAACAAATCACAGAGACAACTGGCTACCTGGGCAATCACCAAAGACCTGTTTGTAGCGTCGAAGCAACCAACTTTGACTAAGGCCTAGAATAACTGACAGATTATTTTTAACAAGCAAGAAATTTTTCAAAACCATCTTACCCTGTCTTGGTAAGATTTGACAGTTCTGCTTATCCATTTCCGGATACCGTGTATTTGTCAGTAGTTGAAGTATGGGCAGTTCCTTGCCCAGAGGCCAGTTTTGTCAAGAAGACAAGCTCCAAGTGGAGCGTCTTTGGTGCTCAACAATCTCTCGGGAATAGGTCGGTGTTGCCAGGAGTGATTGTCTCACTACACAGAACTCTAAGATTAAATTAAATGCCATTTTCTACAGCTCTTCGAAGAGGTTGAAGACTATTTATATATAATCTCTATGTATCTAAAGAACCTGATTAGTCTAACCATAAATATGACAGACATAGATGACTATTGATCTACAATTCTTAACATGTATCCAACTTAAAGACTAAGAGAATAAACAATTGTGCAATAAATGAGGACAATGACCTCCAAATGTAAACAATAAATATCAATAAATAAACAATGTATGAGTATCTTAATCAGAGGTAGAAATGTACACTGCAATATGGTATACATATATCAATATAATATATATCAATACATAAAAAATGATTTAAACAGGTAGAAGCATGCATACATACAATATTCAATATAATTTAACTTTGTATTCATATACAAAAATCTATGCCGATGTAATTATCTATAAACAATAACTCACAAATACCATTATTATCTATCCAATTTTCCCTCTTTTTTTTTTCAAAAAGATCCCTGAGCTTATAAAATTCCTTTCCCAACTTTCAACCGCATACTAATTATAATCAATCCCTAAATATTGTTCCTAAACCTGAGGATAAACTTTGCTGAGAGAGGGGACATTGTCCTCTAGAATTACTTCCAGCTGTCATGGGGGTGAGGTTCTTTCTGGAGGATCCTGTGAAAGTAAAATGATGGTTAAATTTCAAGATCAATGTCTTTTAAAATTGCAAACAGTCTCTTGAGTATTTTGTGGAGGTCTGGCCAGAATGTTGTACAAGATGTGCACCATTTCAGCTAACCAAGTAGGAATCATCTGTGCAGCTGATACCCGAAACAGGACTTGTAGTAGCACTATCAGTATCACGACGTCATATCAACTGAGTGGAGTTGTTGTTATGGGGGTCCATCTTCTTCCTGGAAACTTCAAATGTCAGTGCAGAAAAAACTCATTGTTCATTGTGGAAAACGTAAACATTAATTATATAGACATATACAAACATATATTCAATGAAAGGTATGATAGACATATTCAACGAAAAGTATGATAGACATGAAGAAAAGCAAAGATGTTTTCTAAGCTCATATTTCTTTCTGTCTCATATCATGGCTCTTGACATAAGACAGAAACTCCAGAAACTCTGGGTTTTTCTCCTAACAACAGGCTTGGAATTAGAGAGGGACCAAGCCAAGAGTCCAACTCCAAAACCAGCTCTATAAATTCAGAAATATGATTTAGTATATTCCAGAGCTTCATACTCAGAGAACCTATTCAGTTTTCTTGATAATTCATATTGGGTAGTTATTTTTCCATCTGTCAGTATTCAAACATCCAGGGTCCTTTGAATTTTTCAAAGATGAGTGTTTTCCTGTGGAGACAACAGAACCCTGCCCCCATTTTATGTTTTTCTTACCACCTGTATGGTTATCATCATTGTAGATGCTGTCATTTCTCCTTTCCAAGAGGTTTCTTCTCTTCAGATCTAACCTTTATTAATTTTGATGGTATCCACAATTTTTCTTCTCCTGTGGAAACAAGAGCAAAACCCCTTCCCCAACGCAGCACATCTCCTGGCTTCCATTGAGAGGCCAGCACATCCTTGATATAAACCAGTTGATTTAGTTCAGCAGACTTTTCCATTATCCAGTGTCTTTCTGCCGCTGTTGTTCCCTTCTCATTAGCGTTAAGAAAATTCAAGGTTAATAAGGCATTATGTAATCTATTTCTGGGGGCATTTTCCACCCCTTTCTGTTTATTTAACATATCCTTTATAGTTCGATTTGATCTTTCTATGACTGCTTGACCTGTAGGATTGTATGGTATACCTGTAACATGCTTAATATTATAATAAGCAAAAAAAAAAGTTTCATTTTCCTAGAGACATAAGCTAGACCATTATCTGTCTTTATTTGTGCAGGCATACCCATAATGGCCATAACTTCTAATAAATGCGTGATTACTGAGTCAGCTTTTTCTGAGCTTAAAGCAGTTGCCCACTGAAAGCCTGAATAAGTGTCAATGGTGTGATGTACATATTTTAATTTTCCAAATTCTGCAAAGTGGAAGACATCCATCTGCCAGATTTCATCCCTTTGAGTACCCTTCGGGTTAGTCCCTGCAGGTAGTGGTGTTTGGCTATATAAAGAGCAAGTAGGGCATCTCTTTACAAATCTCCTTTGCTTGTTGCCAGGTAATGGAAAGCTCTTTCTTTAAACCTTTGCTATTGACGTGATGTTTTTTATGAAATTCTGAGGCCTGCAACACGCTTCCAATCAATAATTGATCAATTTCTTCATTACCTTGTGCTAGAGGACCTGGCAGACCCATATGGGACCGGATGTGTGTTATGTACATTGGGCAAAGCCTATTCCTGATTATGTCTTGTACCTGGATAAACAATGAAGTCAACTCTGTATCATCTGGTATAAATTCAGCAGTTTCAATATGCAAGATAACTCTTTCTGCATATTGTGAATCTGTAACAATATTAAGAGGTTTTTTAAAATCCCTTAACACCATAAGAATGGCATATAATTCTTCCTTCTGGACAGAAGTATAAGGGCTTTGTTCCACCTTACTCAATTCATCTGATTTGTAACCAGCCTTCCCTGATTTATTAGCATCAGTATAAAATGTACGGGCTCCAGTTATTGGAGCATCACGTACAATTCGAGGAAGAATCCAAGAAGTTCTCTTTATAAGGTTAAGTCTACCGCTTTTTGGATAGTTGCTATTAATTTCTCCCAAAAAATTAGCACAAGCCCTTTGCCATGGTTCATTGTCTTCCCATAACTTTTTTATTTCATCAGTAGTGAAAGGCACTATAATTTCTGCTGGGTCTATACCTGCTAGTTGATGAAGTCTCAGTTTACCTTTTATAATTAATTCAGAGACTTTTTCTACATAAGTTTTCAATTTTTTACTTGGTTTGTGTGGTAAAAAGATCCATTCTAAAATAGTATCTTCCCTCTGCATTAAAATTCCTGTAGGAGAAATTCTGGAAGGCAATATGACTAGAATGCAACTAAAATTTGGATCCACCCTATCTACATGTGCCTCCTATAATTTTTCCTCAACCATGGTCAGTTCCTTTTCTGCTTCAGCTGTTAATTCTCTGGGGCTATTCAAATCTTTGTCACCATCTAAGGTTTTGTTTAAATGAATTATTAGATCAGGTGTTATCCCAACAGCTGGTCGTAGACTGGAAATGTCTCCTAACAATCTCTGAAAATCATTAAGAGTCCGTAACCGGTCTCTTCTAATTTGTGCCTTTTGTGTCCTAATTTTCTGTAAACCTATTCTGTAACCTAGGTAATTAACAGAATCTCCTCTTTGAATCTTTTCAGGAACAATTTGTAATCCCCATTTAGGCAAAATTATCTTTACTTTCTGAAACATTCTTTCTAAAGTATCTATGTTTGAATCGGATAGCAAAATGTCATCCATGTAATGGTATGTTATAGATTTAGGGAATTGCTTACGTATTATTTCCAATGGCTGACTTACAAAGTATTGACACAGGCTGGGGCTATTGAGCATTCCCTGTGGGAGGACAGTCCACTGGTATCTCCTAGTAGGCTGGGAGTTATTATAAGTAGGCTCTGTGAAGGCAAATTTTTCTCTATCCTTTTCTTGTAATGGTATGGTAAAGAAGCAATCCTTCAAGTCAATAACTATAAGAGGCCATCCTTTGAGTAACAGAGAAGGCAGAGGAAGTCCAGACTGTAGAGGGCCCATAGGCTGAATTACCTTGTTGACAGCCCTTAGATCTGTCACCATTCTCCATTTGCCAGATTTCTTTTTTACAACAAACACAGGAGAATTCCAAGGGCTAGTGGACTCCTCAATATGTTGAGCATCTAATTGCTCCTGTACCAATTGTTCTAAAGCCTGCAATTTATCTTCAGCTAAAGGCCATTGTTTATCCCATATTGACTTTTCAGTTATCCATTTTAAAGGTAGGGCTGTAGGTACCTCTAAAGGTTTGTTAGTTGTTTTATGTTCTTGTACAGCCTGAATGGCTGGTGACCTTTGTGCATAGTACTTTATTACATCCTTCCCAGAATCATGACTTCCTGAGACTGCAGGAATGTTAATCTGGGTATTCCATTGTTGTAGCAGGTCACGGCCCCATTTATTGCAATATCAGCTACATATGGCCTTAACTTTCCTCTTTGACCCTCTGACCCAATACAGTGAACCCATTTCGTGCTTTGTTTAACTCGAGAAATGGTTCCAATTTCTAGTAATTGAACATCTGCCTCTTGAAGAGGCCAATTTGGATGCCAAGATTCTGGAGTGATGATACTCACATCTGCTCCTGTGTCTATCAAGTCAACGATCACAATTCCATTTATACGTACTCTCAGCTTTGGTCTCTGATCATTTATAGAAGTTTGCCAAAATACATGTTTCTTATTTCCTAATTGAATTTCTGACTTATCCTCCAAATTTGCATCATTTAGAGCCATATGATCTTGTACAGAAGCTTCTAGAGTTTTTAATTTTCCTGGTGTGACATGTCCTCCATGGTTACTGGGAATGACTGGGCCACTTTTGGCTTGGAGGCCTGCGAGAGGCCCCTCAGGAAGTTTCCCGATGGTATCGGGTTGCCTTGTCTGTCTGTTGTTGATCTGCATTCATTCGTCCAATGTCTTCCTTGACTCACGTTGCAAGGAAAATTTTAAAAATCTGTGCAGAACAGGGCAAAGTAGGCCAGCAGAGACTGTCCGGATCTGTGTATTCTGGGAGGCGTAAAGGTTATGGCTGAGGGAGGGCTCGTGCCAAGCTGAGCTGGCGGCAGGTAGCCAAGCCAGAGGCCGAGCTGAGCAGGGCGGGTGGGGGGTGTGGGGTGGTTCTTAAACCAAACGCTGGGCGCCAAATAATGGTGAATCAATCCCACACCAGTTATGTTTTAAAGGGGCATTTATTTTGGGGGGTAAACTTACATGCACATAAATCGTCAGGAAAGGAGCCTAGTCACTGGAGCAGGAGCCAGAACCAAGCGCCGGAACCAAGAGGCCGAGCCGAGGCTTGCCGCTCTTCTTTTAAAGAGAAATATACCACACCCCAGTGGGCTGGTATTTCAGCGGCTATTGGCCGCAGCACTGTGGGCTCGTGCTTCAGCGACTATTGGCTGAAGCAGCAGAAGGTACTCCCGCAGCAAACAACACTGAGGCCATCCTATTGAAGAACTCAAATCCATCCATTCCCCTAGAACCTAACCTCTCAGTGTACTCCCTTTCTAGAAGGGGGCTGCTATGAAGGACATCACTAGGGAGGGGCCTGGGACAAGGGGAGAAGCATAGCAGACTGATTTCACGGGAAAAGGGCCCTGGCCTCGTCTTCCTAACAGCCCCAAAGTTCAACTTTGGTATTGTTGCAGTGTGAGAACATTCTTGTGCCATTCGTACCATACAAAGCTACACACTCCCCACATCAAACATACGCATCACTCAGTTCTTAGGACCTCTGGACTCCTCTTCCTACCTGGCATGCCCATACTGTCTCCTCTGTGGGCATCGGTCTGTAATCTGCCTGTGACACTTGCCAACACTCACGCTTGCCTCCCTCAGAGCCACGCTCCGCCCTCTGAGCTGGAGTCCCTTCATTCACCGCTTTCATAAGAGTGTAATTGATCCTCTCGAAATCTGAGGGCTAAGGGTGTCTGCAGCCTTAGTGAGCTGTGAGCTGTAGGCCCTGGTGAGCTGTGATTTCAGATCCAAGAATCAGTGGTACTGAGAGTTTCTAGCATCTGTAACTATTTTGACTCAGATCTCTTGCTTCTATACCCCCCACCTTCATTGTAGATTTCAGTGTGGACTCAGCCATGAATTCTGTCCTTTTCTTTGGCTTTAGGTTCCTCCCATATTTCTCTTTGATCTGTCCAACACTGCTGTTATCCACCCATCCTGCTCATGATTTCCTATCAGTACCCTCATTTCTTGGGAGGAGCCGTCCCTGTCTGGGCTATGTCATTGTATGTCTCCATGGAGAGGTTCATCAGACAGAAAAACCCTACCAGCTCCAAGAAACCAAACAGGTCACATGACAGCTGGGGTCTCTGATGGCCTGAGTCCCCACCTGTGAGGCCCTGGCCCGGGGAGTTATGAGGTGAAACCCACTGCCCATGGCCAATTTCTTACTCTGCCTCCTCACCTCTCTCATCGTCAGGTTGAGCAGCAAAGGTCAAACACTTATGCTCAGTGCTGAATTAAACAGTGGGAGAAGCTTCCCATGTATAAAGCAGATATAGAACATCCCACAAAGGAAGGTTCCAAAGCTCATAAAGCCACAGCCCCTGCAACCAAGGAGACTACCTGCTGTTGACTGGAAAACAGAAGAGGTGGGAGACAAACAGGTAGCAGAGTTAGGTGGGAATGAGGCTGGCTTATTCACACGGGTGGGACTCTGAAGGCAGAGCCCAGTCTCACCACCCACATCTGAATTGGTTTTACATGGTCCTGAGTTTTGGCAACTAATGTAATCTCTTAATGAAGGCCATCAGCTTGTGTGTGGGCTCTCTGACATGTCCCTCCAATTCCAACTTCTTTACACTGGATCCCCACCATTTTTTGCTGTAGAAGCTAAGGGGCACATACTTCATGGAGAAACACAAAACCCTGAGTCTGACCACTATTGCTGACAGGCTACTCTCTGGTAGCCATGGGTCTGAACAGCCCAGGGATGTTTCCTAGACTATGGACTCTGAGTGGTGAGTTGAAGTCCCAGACTCTTCTGAGAATTTCCAAATATAATACTACTTAAGTCTGTTCCCTCAGTGTCTCAAATTTTAGATTAAGCAATGTTTAGTTCCTACGCATGAACTCCTAAAATGCTATGGATGCTCCCAGCATGGACCGGCTGCTGATACAGCCCCGGGAATGAGATAGGATGGACAGAATAAACCCTTTACATCCACAGCAGCCCCTATGGTGGCAGGCAGCACCCCCAGAAAGCCACTTGCAGGCAGGATGTTGTTGGTGATTGAAGGCTGCTGCGCCTGGCTCTGCTGCCAAATGCCCACCTAGCCCAAGGTCTACAGTCTAACCTGAAGCCACTGTCCAGACTGTATGGAAAGCACACTATTAAGGGACTGGAACGTACTGAAGACACTGGGTAGAGTGGGTTGAGAACATGATAGAGGACAACTGGAGGGAAGGCCAGTGTGCTGAGGTGGGATTCAGAATCTCTGCTTTGGACAGTCTGGGCTGGGTTGGTGATGAGCTCCTCACTCCTACATGTGGTACTAAACTTGCAAGAGTGACAGTAAGCCTTCCAAAATGCATCTCTCCTCATATCCTCTCTGTGGCTCTCAGGATCTATTCATGTATTCAGGACCTCTCTGCAGGGCTGGAAATGAGAAGTTTTGGTAAAATCTTCCTCATTATCAATGAAAACTGCTGCCTCCTGCTGAGCCCAAAGTCTGGCCAGTATTCACTAAGGTCTGCAGTGCCTGGCCTTCATATTAGAGCAAAAGGTGGTGCCAATGTTGCTTAACTCTTCTTTCCTTCCGAAGATTTGGAGAAAATTACCCTGTGGACATACACCTGACTGCATATCTTCACTGGTACAACCTATATCTACACAGCCCATTTGCACACCACTCACCAGCACACCCCCACATCTGTACATACACTTCACATTCTCACCCTCATCTGCATGTACAGTGGTACATACCTTTGTCCGTGTAATCCTCACCAGAAACATGCCAGTTCTTATCCCTACCTGCATATACACATAAATATACATACTGTTGGGGAATAGTATTTTCAGATGTGTTACTTTTGTTTATGTTACATTTGATTAACTGGGAAGCTGTGATTCTTTATCTGTCTAAAACGCCTGATGGTCCTAATAGAGATGAACAGCCGATAGAGAGACAGAAGCAAGGGCAGGCGGGGCTGGCAGGCAGAGAGGATAAAAGAATGAGGCGCAGCAACAGGGCAACAAGGAGAGGAGGACATCAGGGGCCAACCACATAGCTACCCAGCCAGTCGTGGAGTAAGAGTGAAGATGAGATATACAGAAGTAAAAAAAAGGAAAAAGCCCAGAGGGAAAAGATAGTTGGGATAATTTAAGAAAAGCAGGTAAGAAACAAGCCAAGGCCAAACATTCATAAGTAAGAATAAGTCTCTGTGTGTAATTTATTTGGGAACTGGTGGTGGGTCCCTCAAAAAGCCAAGGGTAAAATATCACACAACACATACCTTCACCTGCACACACTATCTGTACACACACCTCCCATTTGACCTGTGCTATACATACACATTCCAATCTAAAAGAGATGCAAAGTGTGTTTCAACTATCTTATATCTTGATCTGACCTTTTCCCTTCCTGAGATGGTGGTGCTTTCCCAGGAGTGAGATACAGGTACTGGGCAAGCCTATGGGTGACATCCAGCCAGTGAGTTTGAAGATTCACCCTATACCCTACTTAATCAGCTGTTATGATGAGTTTCGAGTTTGGCCAGGAATATCGGGCTTCCAGGGCCTCTCCAGTACCCAGTACTGAGCAGTGGCCAAGCTGTAGTATCAGGTGAGAAGAGGTCACCTAAGGAAGGTTGGACTCCAAGATAAACAGTGAAAGGCATACAAGATCCCACTATTGTGGAATACCCAGAACTGGCAAATCCAGAGAATGAGCTGGTGACCTCAGTGAGCATGGAGTTCATTTGTAGGGTGATAGAAATGTTCTGAAGCTTAATGTCAGTAGTGGCTGTGTAACAATATAAATATACCAAATGAGTTATATGACTTAAATGGTAAGTGGTTTAGATTTATGCTGTTAACTTCACCAAATTAAAGATAAAAAGCCTTTCAACAGTGAAGACACTGAATTGTTTTTCTTCCTTTTCTCTGAAAAGGTGGTTGAATGCCTAACCTGTACCTCAGGCTGAGGCCCAGGAAACAGCATCTCCCAAGGCTCCTGTATAGTAATACTGCTATGGTGAGGACCATAGGACATGGACCTCCAGAGTGCAGTACAGATGCCCTTTGCTAGCCCAGGCTCCCATTCTAGCTCACTATGTGGAGGCCACCTTGACTGAACAGAGAGGTGGCAGTCTCAAGACAAGACACATTGGTCCTAGGAAGCAGGCAGACTTTAACAAGTACTGCTCCTGGCGCAGACAAGACTCAGCTATCACTTAACTAATGCTTTATCCAGACGTGAGATGATCTGTCCTTTGCTCATGACTGGCAAATCTCAAGGACTACCATAGACTGCTGCTTCCAGCTTGCTTGCTCATGCCAGGAATGCCACCTGCTATATCCTTCCAGTCACAGCCCATCTCCCCTGGAAACTTAACTTCCATCTGCAACTGGCCTGTGTAGGTGGGTCTTCTTTGCTCTTCTATTCCCGAAAAGGAGAGGGATGTCTAGTTGGTCAACAGGATACAAAAGGTGTCCCCACCATCACAACAGACAAGATGGCCACAGAGTCACCACCTTTGGCATCTCTTTATTAGGACCCATATTTGTGTATTTTGCAAATACAAACAGGTACTCAGCAAATACATGTAGTTTTGAAACATTTTATGGCTCTGAATACTTCATTCTAAAATGTGAGGGTGGTTCATTATTTGTTAGGGAGACAACTCCATCCTTAAGTGGCCAAACAGAAAATAGGCGCTACTTGAAGGCCTGTTCTGCATGCTCCCCTTTGAGACCTGCAGGTCAGCTGTTCAGGACTCGTGTAGAATGATTTATCATAAACACACTTGGTCTCTGGGGCTCAGAAGAGACCAACCCTCTCGTGTTCTACTGTCACTTCCCAGAACTTATAGGACATCACTTGGTGCTGTTGGGCCTCTTCTGTGGACATGGCAGTACAGACACACCACCATCTTCCTCAGGCTGCTACATGCCAGAGAGGATGAGACAAAAGTTTCTGTCTTGTGACAAAAAAACGTGTATCAAATAAAACTTGAAAAAAAAAAAAAAGAAAGAAAGATAAAACAGCTGGAAAGCCCACAAGTTAGTTCTTGGCAGAAGCTGCAGGTTCTGGAGACTGAAGGAATTCATAAGGGTCATGGGTAACATCCGGCTGCTCCCCAACACTAAGGCGAGAAGGACTTCCTGTAGGTTTAAAAGAACATAGCATTGAAGAACACAAAACAGATCTGCAAAGCTTATGATATCTGTGATTGATATCTAGAGATAAATGTCTTCCCTGATACCACACACAGGTGCAATCATAATCTGAATTAGGGCTGTCTGCAACCTCCTAAGGCTCTGCTTTGCTTGACATCCTGATCACAAAGTGATCAGAATAAAAACAAATCTTAAGTCTTTCTTCTGGCAGCTGCAGTCAGGCTTTTTTTGAAAAGATCAGGATTCATTCTGTACACAGAATCCTTCCGGATGCATGAGAGGTCCAAAGAGAGCAGATGGCAGTAGAGGCCAGGGAAGGCAGCTCCTAAAGCCCTAGCTCAATCACTCTGTTACCCAGACTTAGTTATCTTTAGCTGAGGTTCCTACAAATACCAGGGACTAGAAAACCACAGAGAAAAGACATCACAAAAGAAACTGGCATGCAAGAGGCCGTGTGTTTGAGTGTTTGATGCCATGTTCACCGGAAAGTTAAGAGGTTGATTGAGCAGAGATCTCAGGATTGATAAGGAGCTATAATGGCTTTGCTGAGTCCTATGCTGGGATGGGACCAGTGTGGGAAGGAGGCTCTGGGGGGCGTGAACGACTTATATCAGCATGTAAAGTTTAAAGTGCAAAAGCAATCAAGAGGTGATGGGAAAAAGGAAAAGCGAACAAAGGAGTCTATCTAAGTCACCCAAAGGCAAACAGGATAAGATTTGTGTCAAGCCAGAATTCACAAGGACAAACACCAACAGAAAGTCAGACGCTGTTAGTAAGCAGCTGGAAGGCTTTAAAGCCTAAGCAACAGTTCATAAAAGACATAAGTGATAAAACTTCAAATGAAAAAAATTAAGCTGTTCTGGAGATGGGTAACTATCCCCCCAGAGTTTACTGTATGTATTTCTCTTCTGCAACGAAGTACACCTGGGATGGACGGTTTTCTTGTTTATTTAACTCAGCTCCGTTCCTTTCAACAGTGAAGTGTAGCCAATGGGAAGACAAGAGCTGTATTGCTACCTCAGAACCTGTCATAATTAGGTATCTAGTTCCAGGAGCAGGCATGGCAGGCCAAGTGCAGCCCTGATTTCCCATGGTCTAATGCCAGATGCCAGAATGAACAACACAAGCTGGCCCAATAAGACTCCCTGGGGCAATGACATGCAGTGGCCCTATGGTGGCAGCACTGCCCCAGGATAACAGGGCTAAAGGCTCACGGAAACCGCATCTAGATGGGATAGTGTCTCGTCCGTGCTCCCCACACACTGTCCTGGGGGAACACAAATGATGAGGCTGTGTTGTGCTGTACTGGACCTTGATGACGATTCCTTTTTAGTTGCTTTTTAGCCGTCCAATACCAACTGGGACTTGTTTGGAGTGGACTGTGAGAGGCCTTCAGAGATCTTGCTCCCACTCTGTAAAAAGGTTTTGTTATGCAATGGTTGAGTGCCTTACAGACTTGGAAAAGCACCTAAAAAAGGTGAAGGCAGCAGTTACAGCGTCTGAATGAAGCTCTGCGCTGGTGAGTTTCTGTCAACCTGACACGAATTTGAGTCCCTTGTGAAGAAGGAACTTCGAATGGCTTGTGGGCGAGTCTGTGGGGCATTTTCTTGATTGCTAATTAATGTAGGAAGGTCGAGCCTACCAGGTGCTATCAACCCTGGGCAGGTGGGCCTGGCTGCCTGCATTAGAAAGGTGGCTGAGCAAGTCAGAAAAATTCCTCCATGGTCTCTGCTTCAATTCCTGCCTTGAGCTCCTGTCCTGGCTTCTCTTGATGTTGTGAAATTTAAGATGACCTAAGTTCAACACCAAGCTGTGGTTAGTATTTTATCACAGCAATAGAAAAGCTAACTAGCACAAAAACCGTAAGGTTGTTAGTTGAAAAACCCAGAGTGAGTTAACTTCCCGAGTTGTTAGAGAGGAGGCCCCTGAGGCTCCTCAAAACATAAAGGCTTTCGCCACTGTACTGTTGTTAGCTGCATGCCAGAATGAGACAGTAACTCTACTATTGATGACACACATACTATTGTTACAGGACATGGAAAAATCAGGCTGAGAATGAGATTCAGGCTGTCTTCCTGCCGGTTGGTTTTCATATGCTAGATGGTGTTAGGTGAGCTACTACTCGGGAGAGAACTGTCATCAGCAGTCTTGCTTGGGTATGGACTCTGTCGGCCACAGTACCAACATGCTGTGTGTGGTGATTTGAATGAGAATCCATAGGCTCATATGTTTGAATGTTTCGTCCTCATTCAGTGGGACTGTTTGCAAAGGATTAGAGGTGTGGCCCTGTTGGAGGAGGTCTGTCACTGAGAGTTGAGGTTGCTGCCTGTGAATGAAGATCTAAGTTCTTAGCTGCTGACTGATCCAGTGCCAAGACTACCTGTCCACCACCTCTACCACACTCCCTGCCATGACGATCACAGACTAATCCTCTGAAACTGTAGCAAATCCCCCACACACACCTTTTTGAGACAGGGTTTTCTGTGTAGCTCTGATTATCCTGGAACTCACCACACAAACCATGTTGGCCTTGAACTCATGGAGATCCACTTGCCTCTCTGCCTCCTGAGAGCTGGGATTAAAGGTGTGTGCTAGCATGCCTGGCATGTTCTGGTTGAATTAATGCAGGAAGAGACTCACATATAGTACTGTAATCCAGGGCAAAAGCCAGCGACTAGGGAGGTCACAGGGCTCAGCAGGGAAGCAACTACTACTGCTTTGTTAAATGGAGGTGATATGTCTGTCAATCTGCCTTCGAAACATTTGTGTTTATGCCCATAGAGCACTATTGCTGTCAGCCTCAGCTCTTAAGAATAAAAAAGACTCCTGATGTGGTACTGTGGTCCAATGCTCAAAAACAGATGGAGGAAAATAATCATCTCACTCACTCCAAAGCTTAAGGAACATCATGAAAGGAACGACTTACCTATGCTCCTAAAAGCACATAAACTCACTGGTTCACTAAGCTACAGTTCTTTGTCCTGTTGTCAGTGTCACACTGGGAAACTCATAGGACAGGCTCAAGGAACTACAGAGATCTGAGATCCTACATGGGGCTGGGATACTCAGAGTGTTAGTACAGAACCCCCTCACCAGGGTTGGTTACACACTCTCCCAACAGAAAATGAACACTCCAATGGTTGATACAGTCAAGGAAAAAATATGGAATGGAAGGACAAGTGGCAACAAACCTATAATAAAAACAAATATCCTCCCCCCTGCCCACAAGATGCACAAGGGTGTAGAGATCTCCCAGAAAAACAACAACAACAAACCCTGGTGAAGGCCACCATCCTGGCCCTGTGGGCCCGAGCCCTCACCTCAGTGCAGGCTCCCTCCACTTGCCTGTGTGAGACCCTTACCTGGAGGGTGCTGCTCCCTCTCAGAGGCAGTGGACAGAGAGCTGAGATTGGAGGATGGCCGGGAGCCTCCTCGCTCTGCTTGTGCTTCGTGCAAGTCCTGCAGGAGCCTGGTTGTCTCGTCCAAGTTCAAGTGGCTCTCATCGTGGTCCAGCTCCTTCTTCACTTTCCCTATGTGACAAACATGACGCAATGCTGGCTAGTATCCAGCCGTTTGATTTCAGGGAGGCAGGGAGTTCCCATCACTAACTGACACTGTTTATGCAGAGAATGTGGTACAACCACCCCTGTAGGGTCTGGAACCAATACAGGCCAAGCCAGGAGGGGTACATATAGTGACACTAAATAGCCCCAACCAATCAAAACCCAGGTGCTGGGGACCTATCAAGCATGTTGACACAGCTCACTGAAGGACTGACGCGTGCTCCCTGTAACTCCATGACACAGCTCCTTGGGAGTTTGCTTGTATCTGGGTCCCTCTAGACTTTGCCATTGTGCCTTCTCCCTCCAATGACTGTTCTGTTGTTTGTCTTAAACAATCCTAGCCCTGAGTTCCAGCAGGCATGGCATATGGCATGAGTTATCTTGAGGACAAGGACAGAGTTGACAAAAGACAATGACAGATCTAAACTCAATCCCTAAAAATTGTGGCAATGTGAAGCCGAATAGACTTCACTATTACCTTTATAATATTCACACACACACACACAAATCTACTTTCTCAGTCTGAAGCTGCTGACTCCAGGGCCATCTTCACTTTAAGATGTGCATCCTCTCAATGTCAGGTATATGCAAGGAGAAGCATGGAGGGCCTAGCTGTCCTCAACCTTAGGTGAAGGAACACCCTGCACACCTCATGGAAGACAGCATTTCTAACAGTAGAGGGCTTATCCTTCAGGGAATGAGCACACTGACACACGGCTGACACACCATGTATGTGATCAGCACCCAAGCATCTCAGCTACCAAACAGGTACAGTTTCAAGTGGTAAAGCACAGGGGTGTGCCGCCAGGGCTAACTGCAGCTTCTGTTCAGAGTGGCAAGCATCAGACCTGCCTGGGGTCAGTGACAGATGTCATTTCTGTTCAACCAACCACAGTTGTCTGACCAAGAGAATCCGAAGAAAACCCACTTTTTATTTTCTAGTCTCTTAAAAAACAGTGTTTTGGGTTTGTTTTGTTTTGGTTTGGTTTTTTTTTTTTGGTGGTGGTGGCTTGTTTAATTTGGGGTTTTGTTTGTTTTTGGTATTTCTGGTAAGGGGAACTGAACCCAGGGCATTGTTCATGTTAAGCAAGCACTCTACCACTGGGCTACACAGTTTTTCTGACACTAGCGTCAGTTGGGCTTTTAACTCATAGGGAGCCAGCAGATATCACATGGGTGTCCTGATCCTCTAGTTCTGACTGTCCCCCCCGAGACAGCATTTGATCCCATATGTTGCGGGTATAGTTAGGCCCTAACCACAGCCCCAGGGTGTTTCCTGTTCTGACTAGTGGTAAGTTAACCCCACAGGTTCTCCTTGGCTGTGTTATCTGCCAGGGCTGTTTGTGAACACAGAGAAACCAAATAATGTTTTCTTACTACATCACACATCACAGGTGGGCACATAAAACAGTGCCCAAGATGCCTCACCCAGCGAGCTGAGCATGGACACATCCAGAGAGACATCAGGGTATGGTTTCATTGACATGAAATCCAGAACAGGGCCACCACTATCTCCTAGTGGGTCCCCAACCTGCAGAAGATGAGAAAAATATTGATTAAACAGCACAATTATCAGCTAATGCCAGCTGTATAAAAAAAACAGGATGTGCTAAATTTGAGCCCACATCACAGTAACATAAATGAGCACTATTCTAAAGGCTGCAGTCTAAGGAACATGGAATCCAAGATTATTAACAGAAACGCAAATCCATGTCCAGGGACCTAGTCAGATCTACATACCTCTGGCAACTTTCCCCTCTACTAAGAATAAACAACCCTTTGCTAACTTCTTAGGGAATTCATTAACACTATGGGTACATGGGAGGTAGGCCACAGAGAGACCAAGTAGACACACAGAGCTCAAGGGCCCACCACTACCTTTTTCAGGAGTAATGTGGCAGATTCCAAAACCAAAGGTTCCTTCTAACAAGGGTGAGACTGCAGTTTCCCAGGACTCTGAGAGCTCCTGTTGCCCAGCTTCTGTTCGTATCCTCATACTACGGTCTCATAGTATTCCCTGGGAACTTAATCTCCTCAGGTACACTGGTGTCTGCTGGCCAGTGGGTAAACTTTGCAGCACAAGCCCACACTGCTGCCTACCATATCAAGAAAGGGAAAAGGGTCCCCACCCTCTCTGAGGACAGTGCCTAGCTGATGGCTTTGAACTTGTCTCTGAACTTAGATTACAGCCCTCTGTTCGGGTCACTAACTAAGCAGATGACAGCAAAGCAGTGCCACTCCAGTCCCTCTTCAACAACTAGCAGCCCCTGAACAGAAGGACAAGAGGCTGGTCACTCACCGCAGTGACTAGTAACCACACAAACCCCGAAAGCTAAGCTTCTGCTCACACGCCTGGGAAACCCACCTTCACGTCATCTGCAGGTCTCATGGGGATGCTCCTCCTCTGCCAAGTAACAAGACAGGAAACAAGTTTTTCCATCAGTTTTCAATTACAAGGGGATCACTTACATTACAGCAACAGTGGCTTGTTCACTGCCTGGGGTTCTGCTCATTTTACCCTCACTACATCGACACCTGAAGCAAGGGTTTCACAGGACTCTTCACAGGAGGTAGTGAAGTTAGACCACAGCTGGCCAACTCATTCCATATCAGCCAAGGGCTCAAATACCATGCTGGGGCTGGGGTGAAAGGAAATATAGGTAAGAGGATCCCCAATTTTATATCGAAACCGATTATTAAAACAATCAAAAATGGGCAGCTTGAGAAAAACAGGCCTAGATAATTAGTCTAGAACATGACCAAGTGCCTGAGACTGGATGTGGAGTGATGGAGGCAGCAGAGACATCGACTGCACTGCTGGAATGGGATGAGCTACATGTCCTGTGCTCTGGGAAGAGCACACCTTCAAAACCACCCTATTTTTATGCACATTCCTCAAAAAAGACCATTTGGTATGTACTTCCACAGATTTGGTCAGGTAATATTTTCACTAACTTTTAATTAGAAATATGGCCTTTATTTTACCATCTGTTCCTTGCAGAAGATTCCTCTAGCATGAATACCTTGAGTACTGAGCACCAATTTTACTGTTGCCGTATATGTGAAATTATCTAACTCTTAGATAACGAATCCGGAGTTCACCAACAGCACAACCTCATTTCAGGGACATGGAGGAATTTCTTGCCAAACCAGACAATCTGTAGCTAGAAATGGCCTGTGCTGGATCAGCAAAATGTATCATCAGGTAAAAGCACTTGCTGCTCAAGCTGAGAACTTGGTCCCTAGAATCCACAGTGGAAGAAGATGACTCTAAAAAAAAATGTCCTCTTTTCTTCATATGTGCATCAGACACAAATAAGAAAAAGTTTTTACATAAATGGCCTGTGCTGAGGCAAACTTCTTGCCTGGAAAGAGAGACACATGAAGAATGGCAAACAGAACAAGAGCCAAGTACACATTGGTAGGGCTGAATTCTGGATGGGGCACAAGACTTCTATGCTCATCTCTTCAGACAAACAGGAGGCTACTAGGCCAGACCAAGAGCTAGGGGGCCACAGGCTGAAATGATCTCAGAGCTAATGTGGACAGACACTTTTTAGAACTCCACCCAGCCAGAGCAGAAACCTTCTGGAAACTTTAGCCACAAGAAGAGACCCAGAAACACCACTCTTCTGCACTATGGTCACACAGCCCTGGAATGATGCCTGCCCTAGACCAAAGACCACAAGTAACTTAATTTCCTGTCCAAAATGAAGATCAATGCTTTTCAAATGAAGAAAACAAAATCTTTGGAACTTGAGAAATAGTTCAGTTGGTAAAGACCTTGCCTTACAAGCATTAGTACCTGAGCTGGATCCCTAGAACTGACATAAAATGCTGAACATGGTGTATACTTGTAGTCCCAGCACAGCTGAATCCCTGTGGTTCACTGGTCAGCTGGTTTAGTCCATTCAGCTAGTTCCAGGTCAGTGAAACCCTATCTAAAAACACCAAACCAAACAAACCCCAAATCAAGAACCTGAGGAACAACATCTGAGGTTGACCTCTGGAGTCCATATGCACTACACACACACACACACACACACACACACACACACACACACTCTAAAATCCAATCATCCTTGGACTCGGGTGTGCCTCAGGGGTAGAACACTTGTCTGGAATGTAAATAGCCCTGTATTTGATCCCTAGTAATAGAAAAAAATCCTACCAGTACTGTTCAGCAGTAACTACACTGACAATTATGTCTAACTGAACATAAACACACTGGCTTGTGAACATGCACACTGTGGATTTGAGCTGGCCTCAGGTTATGGAGTGTCAGGCCTAGTCTTACAAACAGACACATCACAAACAGAAAGTAAAGACACAGAGAGTCTTTACTTTTTCAGAAACAGTGTTAGTTTCTGTTACAGTAGAAGGAAAAGTCCACCTAGACCCACGCCAAGAGAAAACAAGTTTCAGAGGTAAAGGCGAAGATGTTTAGATATACAAAAGCTGAGAAGAGCTCAGTCTTCAGATCTGTGCTGTAAGAAAACAGCGTATTTTACAGGAAGAATGATGAAAGAAATGACAAGCAACCGCCAAACCTTGTTAAGGACAGCTTTAAAGTATAATTTAAAGCCTAATGAGCCAAAAGCAGCCAGCAATGATCTCAAGAGCCTGGCTCCCTGAAATCTAGTGGGCTGGACGGGCTCTCTGCACCCAGAGTGGGACCAAGAGTCTGTGCCCACAAAGGCACGTTAACTTCAAACCCCACCTGCTTCAGCTGGAAGATCATCCTTGAGTGATCTCCACCTGTGATTTGGTCCAGGAGGTCATCTACCATTTTCTTGCTGTAGCTCCCAGCATCCTTCACGAATTCCTGTAGGCTAGAACAGAACCCTGTAAGGGAATGTGCTGAAAAAGTATCATGTTCCAATTTCAAGATCCACCCCCAACAGTGCCAATGATTTTGATTCCAGATGTCCACTGCCATCACTCCTCAGTCCTCTGTGAGCTTCCCAGGTACTGGACTGACCATTCTCAAACAATTTTCAAAGTGGCTCATGGCAAAAAAAAAAAGATTAAAAGAGCTCCAGGAAAATTAAAGACAAAAAACAAAAGGCATGCAGGTACACAATTCACAAAAACTCCTAAGACATACTAGTTAATCTAAAGAAGGCTGTCTATATCCATCAGTTTTGACATTGGAAAGTACAGGCATCATGGAATGTAGAAGTGGTAGTGGGCAGATATGGAGGGGTGGGACTAAGACTCAGAACACATCTTCTGGTACACTTTAATTTCTGAACCATACGACTATATTGGCTTAAAAAGAAATAAAATTTAAGATGTACTCAGAGAACAAAAATCCCCTAGAACAAAGAATCAAGGATGATTTTATAAGGCTCTCAGACCATGAAGACCTTCAGAGAGAAGCAAGGCTGCTGGCCTAGAGCTAAAGCTAGATAAACCCATTAGCTAATAGAACACAGCATATACAGGGGATCTGGGGTTACAGATACAGATACAGACTACAGGGGACCTGGGGAACCCTGACTGTGGCACAGTTAATAAAAACCCAGAGACAGAAATAGGGGTTCAACCTGAAGGTCAGAAAAGCAAAACAGCCAGCCACTAGCTCTTATCTCTACCTCAGTCTGAGATGGCAATCCTGCCTCCAGGAATCCTCAGAACGAGACTGTGTTTGAGAGCTGTTTCTTCCCATCTTATATTCCTCTCTAGGGCTGGGATCAAAGGCGTGCACCACTACCGCCTGGTTTCTGTGGCAAACTAGTGTGGCTACTGGGTTTAAGAGTATGTGTTACCACTGCCTGGTCTGTAAGGCTGACCAGGGCGGCTGGTTTACTCTGTGATCTTCAGGCAAGCATTGCTTATTAAAATACAAATGAAACATCCCTACATTGACCATGTGTACAGAGGGCAGATCCTGAGCATGGAGACCTGAGGTGCTCACAGGTCAACCCTGATGACCCCACAGCCCCTGCAACTGTGAGGTGCTGCCATCGTCTGGTATTTCTGTGTGACACATGGAACCCAATGTTTCTTTGTGACAGCTGGAACTCAAACACATCCCAGGAGCAGACACCCGGGCAAGACAGCAGGATGTTAATGGCCTGGGGACAACTTGCTCCAAGTGCCCTCAAGGAGAAGAGCTCGGTATAGGTGACATGAAAGACAGGGCCTGCTAGCCAGCACATGCTCTGACTATGGAACTTAAGACCCGCCTGCTGAGTTATCATATTTTTCTCTCCTGAAGGAAACCCCTTCTTTCACTTCCATTTTTACTGCCTCTTTGGTCACAAAAATCTGGGTCAGTTATTCATTTATTAGGGACTAAATAGAATTTTTCTGTTTTGTGTTCTCATAGATTCCATTTTTTTAGAGGCTAGCAAAGTTTAATTATCCATAAAAACTTAATTCTACAAAGATGGCCCACTTCTATTTTGTACAGAAAACAAAACAAAATGCAGACAATATGGAGATGCAGCCTTGCATCTGTGTTTTTAAAGAGATTTATTATTTCCTTTAGTTATATGTGTGCATGCATCTGTGTGGGGTGTGTGACCATGAGTGCAGATGCTTGCTGAAGAGGGCGTTGGACCTGCTGGAACAAGTGGTTATGAGAGACCTGATGTGAGTGCTGGGGACTGAACTCAGCTCCTCTGCAAGACTAAGAGCAGTATGCACTCAGTCACTCGGCCATCTCTCTAGCTTCACAATGGAGTTTTATGCCTCATTCTAGACTCTGTTATGGGTTGAATTTTGCCCATGTTGTTCCACCTCACCCCACCCGAGTTCATTAGCTGCAGTCCTAACCTCAGCATAGAATGTGACTGTATTTTAGATGGAGTCTTCTGAGGAGTGATTAAGGTAAAAAGGAGAAACTAGGGTAGTTGCTGATCCAGTTTGGCTAGTGTCATAAGAGATCAGGACAGAGTGAAGACTATGTGACAGCAGGAGAGAAGACAGTGTCTATACTGAACCAAAATTGCCAAATCTTGGGCCTCAGACCTCCAAGTTTCAGTACAGTGAGGCCTGCAGGCCTTGGTGCTGGAACTTGGTTACTGTGGCTCCAGCAGACTAATAGTCTCTAGGGAACACATCTCAAAAACAACTGCTTGTAAGTATACACAGTTTGCTAACACACACTTATGCCCCAGCCTGGATCAAACTGTGCTGAACTGCAAGACAGGCCGATGGTGAGGTGGCAAATAGGTACTGGAGTTTCTGCTGACATCACCTGGCTGTCAGTGCTCCTATTTCCCAGAGCGAGCTGACAGCGATGCCAAGCTGCTCACCAGGGAACAGTTCTCACATTCTGTGTAACCTGGCTTACCTCAGTGCACACTGCACACCAGTCTCGTCTCCATATGCCGAGTACAGAAGTTCCATCTCATCTGATTTCAGGTCCCCAAACACAGAGTTGTTCTGCATTGAAAGCGCAGTGCTTGCACTAGAGAGGAATGTAACTAAAGAGAAGGGAGCAGAGGAAAGTCAAAGTCATGCTCAATGTACTGCCAGCATGGCTACAGCCATTTTTCCTTCCAGGTAATCTCAACCTGAGCCCATGCCTGGTTTCTTCCTGCTTTCTTCCTGCTTGGGCACAAGTGTAGCAGCAGGCACTGCCCACGGACAACTGCAGATTCTACTTAGCACTCCATTTCACATCTGTGGCCCTGTGGCAAAGACTGACCCTTAGGTAGAGATGAGCTTGGACAAGCAGAAGTGGTTCTTGAAACCAGTCAGTTCATGAACCCCCTCTGACAGAAACGGGAGCTGAACCAACACAGAATACACCCTTTCCCAGGGTTATAATAGTAAACCAGGCTATGTCTACGTGGCTATGCTTTTCAGTCTCTATTGGCAGTCATTATAGGTAGAAGTCATGCCGTGTCCTGTACTCTGCTATAGCATTCCTTCTCTCTCTTGTTGGACAACAGCTGCACACCCTCTTCCCTGTAACAAAAATGCTGAGCTAAGAACTAAAGACAAGCAACATCTCAGAAGCAAAGTGTGAGCAATGACATGTGATGGGTTGGAATGGAGGCAGGTGTGGGTAGATCATGCATCACAAAGGTCCAAATGCAGGCTGGTCTCTAATATTCAGAGATGTAGAAAATGCCATCCCAGAAAGAAAAAGTCCTCTGCTGAGGCGGTACCAAGCTTCCCTGTGACAAGAGTGAACACCAAGAAAAGCAATGGTGTGCAGGACTGAGGGGATAAGGAAGTATGGTAAAGCTTGCGGTGCAGAGGTGACCTTGAGCTGGTTCTCAGAGCCACAGTAAAGGTGAGGGCCGCAGGAAGCAACAAAGAGAACAAAAGCAATGACACAGAAAAGGGCAATCCCACCCCTGCCTATACCACCACAAAAGAAATGATGTGTCTGGAATAATTACAGAGACAGGAAATACAACGAAACGCCAAGTCTAAGGGGAACATGCTGACGTGTGTTCCATGTTTTTTAAACACCTCTGTACTCGAGTAAAGGCAGAAGAAATGTCATCAAAACACATCTAGGCTCGGACCAGGAATGGCTACTGTGCCTTCAAGAGAAAGGAAGTGAGACCCACAAAGAACCACCAGCTTGAATGCTCTCCAGTCTTAAAGCACATACTTGTGCACATACAGATACCCACACACCAAAGCAAGTCTTCTGGCACACATACTACCACATATATACAACCACAAACATTCCGAAACACACTAGGAGATTGATCATAAATACAGCACCCACAAACACAAATATACCTGCCCCTCCCTCATGCTATGTTGTCACCCACAACCACCTTGTCTACCTAGGTCTCTTGGCTGCCAGGCAGCTCCATCATCCTCCAAATGGTTAAAATGCAAGCCTGATGTAAGAAACGAATCCCTCCATAAGGACCAGCAGGAGCCGGAGCCAAGGCTCCTGTGGAGGGAGAGAATGGACGGCAGCCTGTATGAGGAAGCTTAGGAGCTCAGTCTGAACTTACCCTAGTGGAGAGCAGAATGCAAAGCAGGAATTCTCAACCTATGACTTTAGTCATCTACTTTAATGGATCTAAACTTCATTTGTTTTAAAATCTAAACCCAGTCACATAAAGAAAATCATGAAAGAGAAACTGGCAATTTCAGCATCCCACTGACAGCCAAGCCGGCCTTCAGCTCCCGAGAGCTCCCACCCACCAGCACTGTACTTACCTTTACTTCTTCTTTCATCTTTGAAACCCAGTGTTGTAAAACCTGGGAGCAACTTGCTAGACAGTGAACTCAGGTCCACAGGGTGTGTCTCCTCCTCTGCAGAAGACAGGAGAGGAGGAATGATCAAGTCAGCTTGCCTCAGCAGCGATGAGCCTGTTCTCTATAGCACCTTGGACAGGGAGCAGTGGGGGCACGAAGACTTTACAATGTCCATTTAAAAATGATTTTTAATATAATTTTAAAAACTAACACCATTTCAATTTGATTTTATAATTGCCCTAAAGTCAACACCATGAAAAAAATATGTCTGGAGCTAAACAGATAGTTCCAATGGCAAAGTGTTTGCCTTGTAAGCATGAAGTTCTGAGTTCAATTCTCCAAATCTGTACTTAAAAAAATTAAAAAAAAAAAAAGACACAGTGGTGCATGCTTATAACCCCAGTACTGGGGAAGCAGAAATGGGTACATGCTTGTCCTTGCCATGTCTATAGACCATCATGCCAGCAATGCTTTCATCTTTGCAAACTGCTCCCTCTACTCCTACATGCTATCCAGCCCTTACTGGCCATCCTCTACATGCTCACCTGTTTCACATCTGCTTACTGATTTCCACATGCAAATCCATTCCCCACTCCTGACAGGAACCTCAGTTTCCACACTGACTTTCTAGCCTAAGTATGGACTACCTTATCTACTTTCTCCTGAAGACCACAGAAATTTGTCTCCCACAGTTAAAATCAGAGTGTCTATCCTGTACACTAGAGAAAATGAAATGACCAGTTGATTGTGGGCTGGGAGGAAGAATGTCAAGAGGCCAAAGAGCTGAGGGAGACAGAGACTCAGGCAAAGCAGTAAAGTGTGAGCCAGCATCCACTGTGTCTCACCCTCTCCAAGTGTGTCTGTCGGCATGCTGCAATCCCAGGGACTCATTGGCACAGCTACTACCTACTCAAGATGTTCTAATGAGTGAAATACCCCTCCAGGCTGCTGTGCCTGGTGGCATTCTTGTTTTCACTAAGACATACCCTGACCCAATCATCCAGCCTTCCTTCCAGAATACTTTTGAGTTTCAAGTGCATTTGGTCTGCATTTGGCTCATGAGGAAGCAGTTCTGACAGAACTCAAGAAACAAAACCTTCCTACATCATCAATGAAATTCAGTCCTTAAGAATCTATCACCACCCTGAGTAACCCAATGGAGGTCCAATGACATACTGGCCTCTTTCATGACACACATAGGCTCCACTGTGCACACACATGCCACCAAGGATATGTGGAAGAGGGAAGGCAGACAACTCTCCTGCAATCTCATTAACAGTCGTGGTGACATATGAATGTGTTATACATATGCGGCATCTCAGAGCATGTACAGAGTTTAGAGGACAATGTGCAAGCCCTGGACAAAGCACCCACCATCAGCATCAGGCTCAGTTGCATTCACCACGCTGTAGAGCAGAGTTCCATCTCCAAGCTTCTTCAGGTAGCCCATCTGCAAGAAAGCAGCACCCAAGTGTCATCCCCCAGGGAAAACCTTGTGCTATCTACTAGAGACACATGACATGCTCGTCACTTCTCTACCAGTTTCTCCATGAGGAAGAACCAGAGACGCCCTCTCACATGTCCAGGGATTGAAGATTGGCCCGACTGTGACTGATGGTACCTGCTCATGGTTAAATAAACCTGATTATGACTGAGGACACCTATATATGGTCAAAACACTGCTTAGGCACACGACCCACCCCAAAGAGTTTCTGAAATAAGAGTCTTATCCCAGAAGCAGATATTAAAAGTCATCCATTAAGCCTGAACAAAGTAAGAGAAAGAATGCCAGCTAAGTAAAAAGCATCATGCCATGAGGTCCATACCTCTATCTCTAAGGTAGACAGAAACATTACTCCATTAAAAATCTTCCACAAAAGGCCTTGACTATGTCCTATCATCACCCACAGTCTCATACAGGGACAGGAGTCAGGGTGTGGAAAGTATACATGTGCAGATGAAATGTGCAGGGGACTGGCCAGATGCACGAAGAGTAAGTTCTTGTGATTGTAACTGTACCCGGGGGAATGTCAGAGAGCAACATAAGTAGGGCAGAAGCAGGAGAGGAGGCAGATACTGGATAGAGCACATCCAACAATATACCAGGGTACTAGGGCCAGGCTTCTCAGTGCAGTGCTACAAACTAAAAAGGGAGAGACATGAGTGGCCGTGGTATTGGAGGGAACAGGAAGTTTCAACAGACAGCAAAGATTTCAGTACATGAAAACACAGTTACCAACATAAGTTACTCTTAGCTGCATATATACATGGTGTGTATTCACACAGGTACATTTCCTGGCTCTACCTGACAGTGTTTTACCTACAACACGGATATCTGCCCAGGTTAGTTTTATGTCAACTTGACACAAGCTAGAGTTATCTGAAAGGAGGAAACCTCAATTAAGAAAACACCTCCATAAAATCCAGCTGTAACCAGGAAGTAGCGGCACACACTTTTAATCCCGGTACTCAGAAGGCGGAGATAGGCAGATCTCTGTGAGTTTGAGGTTAGCCCGCTCTATAGAGCTAGTTCCATGACAGTTAAGGCTACACAAAGAAACCCAGTCTTCAACACCCCACTCTCCCAGACCTCCCTTCCAAAAGATACAGCTATAAGGCATTTACTTAATTAGTATTCAATGTGGGAGGACCCATCCCATTGTGGGTGGTACCATCCCTGGGCTGGAATTTCTGGGTTCTATAAGAAAAAAGGCTGAGCAAGTCAAAGGGAGCAAGCCAGTAAACAGCACCCCTCTATAGCCTCTGCACCAGCTCCTGCCTCTAAGTTCCCGCCCCATTCTGAGTTTATGTTTTGACTGCCTTCAATAATGAACAGTAGTATGGAAGTATAAGCCAAATAAACCCTTTCTTCCCCAACTTGCTTTATGTCGTGGTGTTTCACTGCAATAACAGAAACTCTAAGACAATATCCACTTCTAAATAAGGTTTCCCACTGGAGGAACCACGGCTCCCCAGAGAAATGACGAATTCTAAGGGGTGAAACACAGCAGGAGTATAGGGCAATGCTACCCAAACTTCTTGCAAGCCACACAGCTAATGTTGAGTCTTTTGACAGACATGTTTACAAGAGCAAACAAACAAGCAAAACTAACTTTAAGGTGTTTATGGGGTTTTGTTTCATTTTTCTTTTTTTGCAATGCTAGGGAAGGAACATAAAGCCTTATGTGGGGTAGGCAAGAGCTCTACCATAAACCATACCTCTAACTAGCTTAAGCTATTTCCTATAATTGGAGGGTCTAAAATTCAACATTCAGTATTTAAAATGTAATACACTTGATATGGAGAAACTTGATATGAGCCGGGCGGTGGTGGTGCACACCTTTAATCCCAGCACTTGGGAGGCAGAGGCAGGTGGAGTTCTCTGAGTTCGAGGCCAGACTAGTCTACAAGAGCTAGTTCCAGGACAGGCTCCAAAGCCACAGAGAAACCCTGTTATGAAAAAGATGTAACGTTCTGACTTCTGATTACTGTTAATACAGACCTTACATTGAGATAGTGAGATTCAGATTAGGTCAGGCCTGATGGAACAAAACAGGCTCATCTAACCATGTGCCCTTACTCTTGTTTTAGGGGCTTGTGTTACCGTCTACAGATGCTCTGCACCAGATCATCTTGTACAGGAAGGAAGAGTGGTAGCACCTTGCTCTACAGTGAAGCAGGTAACAGTGGGATGGATCCTTCTGCCACGGGTAGCACCCTGCTCTACAGAGAGGCAGGTAATAGTGGGATGGATCCCTTTCCCACAGGTAGCACCCTGCTCTACAGAGAGGCAGGTAATAGTGGGATGGATCCCTCTGCCACAGCTAGGACTGTAGATAGCTGTATTAAAACATGGCATAATCTACGAACGGCCCACAGAAATACAGAACCACAGATGGCATCACACTTATGGATACTTACTATGAAGGGGGCTTTACTTGTACAGAAACTTGGCAAACAAGGCCTCCCCTAAGCAATAGGGTCAGTCACAGTGGCCCCAACCCAACTTGGATGTAGTGGGAAATGCCATATCCCATGTTCAGGGGGGCCCTGCCAGCGTAGCGATCTCAGACCCCTCTGAGGACATAAGACAAAGACAATCAAAGAGCTGATCTGGCTCTGGCCTGAACCCCTGGCGTCCAGGAGGTACTTGAGTGTTTGAGGCCAAGTGGCACGGCCCTCAGGGGAGGGCCATAGATACTACCTTGCCACCTGGGAGAAACCGGTTAATCCTGTCCCGAGCCTCGTCAGCTGCGTGCTCTACGAGGGCGAGCACGTGCTCCTCTGCAGTGCTGTCTGTCAGGCTGCAGGCATTCCCTTCAGGCTCAAACATGCAGCTGTAAGGCATGAAAACCAAATGTCATCATAAGCACTGCCCATTTCTTCCCAGCAGCAGCTTCTGTGAACCATTCCCTTGCAGAGGCCAGCAGGGAAGTACTGGGCCAAGTTTAGTCCCTCTACTTCTCATAGCATTTCCTATGTGTTCTAATCATGTTCTTATACCTGGAATAAAAAAAAAACGCAGACCAAATAGAACCCCTTAGACTTCCCACGTCTCAGAGACACTTGTCTTCTTACAAACAGAAAAAAAAGTGACAGGAATTACATAGGTATTAAAGGAAATGTAACAAGTCCCCACTGTGTGGAATGTCAGCTACAAGAAGCCCTGGGCTCTCCAAGAAGGAACAGTTGTGGAACTAGACTGTCCTCTGAAGACAACAGAAACAGGCAGACAGGCTCCTCTCTGCCCTGGCACAAATGACCAAGGAGATGTTGCCAAAAGAGGATGCCCTCATAACTGACACCGCTGCTCCCTAGAAATCCAGCCAAGGGGTAATGGTGCCCCTAATCAGAGTCCCATAGCACTGGCACTGACAGTCAAGCATGATCTGTAGCATTTGGTGAACTTCAGTATAGAAACTCAGACTTTGAAATCTAATAATTCAGAAAAAAAACTCCACAAGTATTCATTATATCTAAAAGTCATAGAACCCACAGATGACGGATCTTTGTGATAACATCATCTACACCACAGCCACTAACTACAAACTCTACAAATCTGAAGCAACCTGAGAGGCCAGGAACACATGAGGGCAGCAGGTGTCCCTAGAGAGGACAAAGGACAGTGCACCAGAAGGAGCCATCTGCTGAGAGGGAACCCGCCTTAGGGAAACGTGCCCTTCTCCCAACTTCACGTGATCCTAAGTCACAGGTTGGTCACTAACCCAAACAGAGATAATACTCTACAGATAAAAGTGAGACCCCCCACCTATCATCTGTGTGGTAGTCATCATTCCATTCTTAACTACTCAGTTAGTCCCTCAACATAGCTCAAACTACAGTCAGGGCAGCCACATGCTGGATGGGAAGGAAAGAAACCATGCAGGACTCCAACTTTCTATGATTGCCTAAATGCTCCTTGGGGTCTACTACCAAAGAGGTAACATCAATTCAGCCTCAGAGCTCACTCTCCAAGAGACAAAGGGGCACCATGAAAACCTTCTAGTATAGGATATAGATAATGTCCTCTCAAGATCCCTTAATTAGCTCTGGCCTGATGGACAGGAGAAAAGCTTCAGGGAGCTCTGTCTGAAGTACCCTGACCTTCCTGATGCTCATCACCAAGCTGGCCATCTCCCTATAGCACCACAGAAGTCAGCCTACAGACACTGCACAGGTAAGAACACAGGTCATTAGCAGATGCTATGTATGAAGGGCATATACTAAAGGGATGAATATTAGCAAATAGAATGTATATCATATAGCAATGACAAACTGGCAAAATGCACTGTAGGGACAGCTACATGGGCCCATGGATCCCAGTGCGTGTGGCTGGCACACAGGAGGGTGGTCTCAGCGCCTGACATTCATCAGCAGCAAGAGTTGTTGTGATGGTGGCATGAGAGTATGTGGTGAGTGACTACCTTACCCCACAGAACTGCCCTGCAAGGTCCAGAGTCTGCAAACATACACAGGTGATAGGCTAGTATCAGCTATGAGGGCAGGTAGAACAGGGTGGCCATTTCCCTCTGGAGTTCCACAGCCAGGAAGGCATCCAGTTTAAGGTGCCTTGTGGAACCCAAGAATCCTTAGAGACCATGATCCTCCATCCAGGATGAGATGCTCCACAGGTCCCCATCGCCCTTGTTGGGCAAAGCACTGCTGTCCTGCTTGTAGGCAGCAGCCCCACAAGCCTTACCTGATAACTTCTCTACTCGGCTTTTTGGATTTCTTGGTGGTTTCTACTTGCACTGGGACAACCTCAGGAACAGGTTCCTCAACTGCTGGGTCTTCACTGCCCAAGAGAGCTGCCTGCTGAGAGAAATCCATGTCCTGCATAAACGACATGCTGCGCTTCAAAGCTAACAGCCGCTCCTAGAATCAGAAAGGACAGAGCAGCAGGACTTTACCTCTCCCTTAGCCACGGAGCCGTGACGATGGGATGGCATGGGATGGCCACGGCCTCACCTGGCCTAATCGCCACCTTCCCAGACGCTGCAGCGGGAATGGTTGCGAGGGCTCAGCATTCAAGGTATGGCCCAGAGATGGTGGTGAGATAATGGTGGAGCCCAGCAAGTGCCGCCTGCCTAAGTGAGGCTCATACAGCCTGGCTTACACTTGGAATGACCGTCAAGGGTCAGTGAGGCTGGGCTACAAAGTAAAACCACAGGCTGGCTGTGGTCCAGCAAGACTGACCTAGATCCAGAACTTTTCATCAGCCCCATATATGGCACCTCTAAGCTGTGTGAAGGTGCACAAGGGGGCAGCACCTGGGTGTGGCGGATGGATGAAGCGTGTCATTCATTGTGAGCCTGTTAGGCACAGAAAGTTAGGAGACTTCGGCTCAGTGCCATTGCTCTAGTGGGTTTCTTACTTTGCTCATCATCTTAAAGCCCGCGTGCAGGATCTTCTTGGCTAACTTGTAGTACACGGTGTCTGGTCTATTGTAGGTCATCGCATTATCACACATTAATTTGAAATCTGCCTAAGAAGAAAAAAATAAGGAATTTTCCATATAAGTAACAGCAAAGTTCTCCATTCTTGTCAAACGATGCCAAGTTGAAAAGAATGAAAGTCAACAAAAGACAAGCCTGGGAAGACAGATTTTTAATAACTCAAGAGAGCTTTTCATAACGATCCATGTGTTTTCATTTGCATGAAGAATTTCCCGGTGAAAATTTGGTCAAAGTCTCCAATATTCTTTTGTATATTAATATGTAAATTTTATGAGAAAGACTGTACAAATATTCTAAGCACTCTTCTTTCCTCCAGGCCTTGTTCCTATCTAGTAGAAACACGGACACAAATAGGAATAAGAAGCAACATGTCTGGTTCTTTAACTAGAAGTGAGAAATAGAGCGAGGGGTTCCGCATCACAACTACATGTAACTATAGTTCCAGGAGACTACATGCCCTCTTCTGACCTCCAAAGGCTCCGGGCATACATTTGCTGCACAGACACACTCATAAACATAAAATAAAACAATACATCTAGAAGAAGTTATATATAAATGACTTGAGGTACATATACAGTGTTCATTATGAGAGTGAGCATGAGCACACCCACACGGAAGAACACACACGTTTTGCAAACTTATTTCAGAAAGTAAAACTTATTTACCTTAAATTCTGTGACTGATTTATATTCATTGGCTACGATCTTGTCTTTCATTGTGCCAAAGTCCATGGGATGTTTTATTATCATTGAATACCCAGGAGCAATTGCATCCGTGACAGGAAAAGCAAAAAATCCATGAGGATCTTTTCTGAAAGCAAAGATATCTTCGAAATGAAAAAAACTCTAAGTCTAAATTTCTAAGTGACATAAAAATTTTTACAATCCAAAAATTTATATAGCTGACTAAATTTCAAGTTTGCGTCCTAAAAGATCAGTGGGAAAACACAGACACCTTTTTAGGGTTCCAACACGTATTACACACAACAAACGCTGTCCCAGTTATATCCATGACACCAACTTCAGACAGGACAGGCTGAAACACAGCACATAAGCTCCTGGCTCTGAAGGTGTGGCCTGCACCCAGTGTGCCCACACCCTGCTAGACTGGGACATATCTTGTGGTGGTAGTGGCTGGGGTTCAGGGTGCAAAGTGTTTCAAGATAGGGAGAAAGTGGGGGAGTATCCTGTAGAGGTAGGAGGTGAAAGGTGGGATTTAGAGCATCTAGAGAAAGAGGGTGTCTATCTCATGGGTCACAGATGACAGATGGGACATGGGGTTACCTCTGCAGCTGACGGAGGAAGTGCTCCAGAAGCCTCTGGATGGGTGTGCTCTCATTCTCAGCTGAGTTTATAAAGAGAAAGCAAGGAAATAAAATCAAACAGAAAGACCTCATTTCCTTCATTAGAAATCCCCATATTCATCTGCCTGTGACCTTTGCAGTATCTGAAGCCCAAGCAAGAATTGAGAACTTGGGCACAGCTCCCTCAACAGTCAGGTTGGCAAAGGGATACACAGCACATCTCAAGACCCACATGGCTATTTCCAGTTCCCATCACAATCCCCGAGCTATAGGAGAAGCAAATGTGTGGGTGGAGCTCATTCTGGACTCCCTGGTCAGTACTGCACTTGAGACTTCTCGTCATTTATCTGTACCTAGTTCTTACGGCACAACATAAAATATACACAGACCTCACGAGGGCTGTGGGTAACAGCCAAGTCTCTGAGCTCAGTCAACCTGACTGCCCAGGGTATGTCCAAAGCAGCAGTATCTCTTCAGTCCCTCCACAGGACACAATGACTGCACTGTGTCACTCAGATTTGCTGTGGTCAGCAGCTGTACCACTTTGAAGACAGGCCCTGACTGTTGTTTCCTGGAAATTTACTACGAGAGTGAACTGCTCTGTCAGGGATGGAGTTACTAGCAAATAGCACTCTTTCCCACAAGGACTATAATAGCTATCTCAAGGCGCCCTGATAAATCAGGGGTTGTTAAGTCCATAGTCAAAGGACGAAATTCTGAAGAGAAAAATTATCACACAGACTGTGGGGTATGAACATTTCTTCTGCAGCCATCACAATCTGATTTTAATAGTAGCTTTCCTGATAACCCATGCTCTCACACCCAATTTCCTCAGTTTCTCTCCATGTAGGAGGAGACATTTTTGCCTGAAAACAGAGTTCCTGGAGTCCTATACAGGACATCTGGGAGCCAGGAAATCCAAAAGCCAAGACTGAGACACCATAGAATGTCATCCCTGGCATGGGATGCCCAGGTCAGAAGTTTCCCAAAGACCTCTAGGTTCCTACATGTCATCTTGAGGTCACTGTAAGTGACTCCAGACCTACCATGAGAGCCTGTGTTGGAAGAATCTCATGTTTCTACATGTGTTTCTTATGTGACTTGTGAAGGGCCACTAAACAGATGTTTGGAACAGTAAAGCAAATAAAACCAAACTTCTAAACTAAAAATTGGTAAACTTTAACCAGATTAAAAAAACATTGTAAACTGGGTAATGGCGGCACACGCCTTTAATCCCAGCACTCAGGAGGCAGAGGCAGGTAGACCTCTGAGTTTGAGGCCAGCCTGGTCTACAGAGCAAGTTGCAGGACAGTCAGGGCTCCATAAAGAAACTCTGTCTCAAAAAGACAAAAACAAACAATACTGTAGGTTTTGTGGGACACATCCAGTTGGTCTCTATGCTCCTGTTATTAAATACCCCAACAAGTGGATAACCACGCTATGAACAGGATATAAAATATGTCCAGAGACAGGGTCTTGCCTGGCTGTGTTCGGCAGGCTCTCACTGGTCGATCTGGGGGTGGCTCCACCTCCACCTTCTTTCCAGGGTCGAAGGCATCAGCCTCCCCCTCTGAGTCGCAGTGCTCTTTCTCCCGCTTCCGTTTTTTCTCTTCCTGTGAGTAGCAAAGAACAAAGGCCAGAGGACAGCACGAGCTCTTTCAGATTGGTATTTTGGGCCCTGTACACCTCGGCCTTTTGCGGACTGAGGAGAAGACCCATTTCTACAGAGAATACACTCTGTAGGCATTGGCCAAAGATGGTCTGGAAGCCCAGGACTGCAGCACTAGTATCATTAGCGTCCCCACCACAGGCCATTGCACCTTTACCTTCCGCTTCCTTCTCTCCTCCTCATCGAGGTGCTTCTCCTTCTCTGACTTCTTCTTCTTTTTCTTCTTCTTTTCTTTGTGTCTCTCCCGCTCATGGTCTGACCTATCATCATAGTAGCTGGAGTCGTGGCCAGATCCTGAAAGTTCCGTCACTTCACTTCCTCCCACCTTGAGCACTAGCTTCAGAGGCTTCTCCAGTGGTGTGTCCGTGTAATCTGCACACAGATCATGAGTCAAACTTGCAAAATTCTGGGTGGGACTACTGCGCCCCTGTGGGTGTCACAGGGTAGGTGTCTGGTCTTGATAAATCTAGACAGCAGGAAGTTGTCAAAACCATGGGAAAAGATGGACTCTCAAACTGACAGGGCTGTGTTCGGCCCTTTCAAACCACATAATCACCACTGAGAGTAGTCAGGGCATCGATCCTACCAGGAAAAAGTGCATCACCACGACTTAGGACCCAAGACCCCAGTTCCTTCGTGGAAGCCCCTCTTTTGGCTGTGGGTCTTCCTGGTACCAGAGAGGAGGTCCACAGTGGCCACAGGACCCGAGAAGCCGACGGCCTCATCCTGTGATCTAGGAAACGCAGCTGAGGTCCTCCACCGGGCCAACCCCGCCCCCTCCCACGAATGTCCGCGACCCCGCTTTAAGCCCCTCCCGCTCACAGGACCCCGCCCGCCTCAGGCCCCTCCTCTACAGCACCGCCCAGCGCAGACCACGCCCTTCCCTTGGAACCCCGTCCGCGCCGGTCCCCGCAGCCCAGACCCCGCCCACGGGCTCCACACCTTCGTACGACGAGCGCCACTCCGCCTTGTGCTTCTTGTGCTTCTTCCCCATGGCTGCGGTCGCAGCGGATCCGCGGAGAAGCGGCTGCCCGTAGCCCGACCTGCGCCAGTCGGAAGTGGCCCCTTCGCCCCCACTGAACACTTCCGGGTCAGAGGGCGGTGCTCAGCGCGCGGCAGATTCGAAGCGCGGCGGGACGCGGCTGGGCGGAGCGGCGCAGGCGGCGGAAGTGGCTCAGACCAGGCTCAACCAAGGTGTACAGTCCCACGGCTGAGGAGGCTGCTCCGCGGGGCGTCACTCGGGCCGCGTTCCCTCGGCTCTCGGCGGCGGTGCCATGGACGAGGCGGTGGGCGACCTGAAGCAAGCGCTTCCCTGTGTTGTCGAGTCGCCCGCGGTTCACGTGGAGGTCCTGCAGCGCCGCAGCAGGTGAGCTATGCGGGGGCCGACCACTCGGGGCGCGTCCTAGCCGGGCCCCACCACGCGTGCCTCCGGACCGCACTACCCTACCCCACCTCTCAGGATCCCGTCCCGCGACGTCGCACGCCCTCAACACGGCCCCACTTCACGTAGCACGAGCAACCTGGCTTTAACCCACCTAGTGTGACTCGACACGATCCCCCTACTCCGCATAGCATCCCCGAGTGGCATGACCCTGCTTTGCCCTGCACGAGATCCCATCCCACCACACACTGCTCTGAGTTTCACTTACCGCTATCCCATCAAGACCCCACCATCCCTCATCTGGCAGGGCCTCACAGCTCTCAAGTGGAACAGTCTAACGATGATGATGGGGACAGTGGTGATCTCCAGACCTCAGGGGTGCAGGAAAGTGAAGTGTCAGTAGAACAAGGAGGGGAATAAGTGTTTAGTTGACCAAGCCTGTATCTGGTGGTAGATTTCCTGTTACAAAGGTGTTCATACTAGTGCAGGGCAGTGGTGGTGCATGCCTTTAATGCCAGCGCTCCAGAGGCAGAGGCAGGCAGATCTCTTGTGAGTTTCAGGCCAGCCTGATCTACAAGAGCTAGTTCTAGGACAAGCTCCGTAGCTACAGAGAAACCCTGTCTCGAGGAAAAAAAAAAAAAAAAAGTACATACTCGAATTTAGACCCTACATCAGCCCTTCCTTAACAGTGGCTGCTAACATGGACTGAATGCTTGTTCTATTTCAGGCTTGTCCTAAACACTGAATTTTGATTCATCTTCATAGTAGCATGTCAAGAACTAGTGCCACCTCCTTTTTCTAATGGTGCTGAGGGTTTCTAATGAGGTACTGAGAGTGGTCAGTGGTGTGACTGCAGACCCAGGACCACTATAGTTGATCTCTAGACAAATCCACTCCCAAGCCTGATCTTGGCTAGTGACTTTTGTGTGTGTGAGGTCTGAACATTTTTGTGTATGTGTGGTTGGGTTTTGGGTTTTGTTTTGTTTTTTTGTTTTTTTTTTTTTTTGAAATTTAAAACAAGTTCTCCTGTCTCAGCCTCCTGCATGCTGTGATTTCAGACATGCCCCCACCGCTTCTGGCCATACTTTAGTGTTTTGTTTCGTTTTGTTTTTACTAAGATATTTTATGTATGCCTGTATTTATTTTTCTAGTACTGCAAAAAAAGAAGACATAAAGCTGAGTGTTCAAAAACTGCTCAACAGACATAATATTGTGTTTGGAGATTACACATGGACTGAGTTTGATGAACCTTTTCTGACCAGAAATGTCCAGTCTGTTTCTATTGTTGACACAGAATTAAAGGCCAAAGACTCTCAGGTAAGTTCTCCTGGTTACTGAACTCTTAGGGAATGTGAGGTAATTCTCACAAATAGCTAATATTGACGTTGATAGCAGGCTCTTAATCTGTTGGTTTTGATGGCTAGATAAGCCTTAGCTATGTGTCCTGGAACTAGTTGCTGGAAAGGATACCATGTGTCAGGATGCTCTGGATAGAACCAGGAATAGACAGAATGAGAATCTGAGAGCTATAGAATATCAGACTGTGCCTGAATACCTGAATTCTCTCTCTGTCCATGAACAGGTGTTGTGGTGTGCTCAGGCGTGTGTTAGCACGGTAGATTGTGGAAGTTACAGAAATGAGATGGGCCTGCCTTATGGAAGCTCTCCATCTCATACAGATTCGCTTACCCACTGTCTTATGATCTCATTGGTGGGAAATTGGGAGATTTGTATTGACAGTGTTGGTACTGTCTATCACCAGTATAAAACATTTGGAAATGTATCCCTAAAGAAGAAGCTTCAATGAGCATTATATGACTCTTGCCTTATAAAGAACTGATTTTGAGGCTGAGATGTAGCTAGTGGTAAAGCTCTTGCCTAGTTTGCACAAGGTCCTGAGTTCAACCTTTAGTATTATAGAAAGAAAATATGTAAATAGAAAGAAAATAGGAAATTGATTTTGAAAAATGAGGCCTAGGTCTAAAAACCTTTAATCTCAAACTCAGTGAGGTCAGCCTGATCTATAAGGTGTTCTAGGCAGATAGCCCTACATCGTGAAACCTGTTCCAAAGGGTGTGATGGGAGCGGGGGGAGCTCAAAGGGGAGAAATGGATAAACACCTTAAGAGCCAATCCTAGAAAAGAAATGAAATGCTAGACTTCCTCTAATCTGAGAACTAGTTTTTAACAGCAGTATGCCTTGGTCTTTACTTTGGACTTCAGCATAGAGAGCTGTAGTAAAGAAGGAGGTGTTCTGAGTTGCGTAGCTATGTTTACTTTGTACCTCATCAACAGCCCATTGATTTGAGCGCATGCACCATTGCACTTCACGTCTTCCAGTTGAATGAAGATGGCCCCACCAGTGAGAATTTGGATGAAGAGACAGAAAATATAATTGCGGCAAGTCACTGGGTTCTCCCTGCAGGTACAGGGTCCTGACGGGTGGGCAGTGATGGAGGGGGGCAGCCAAGAAAGACCTGAATCAGAAGCTGAGGACCCACCTGGGTCTCTTAGCCAACTTGCTTAGTGAGAAGATTTGGTTCGTTGGTTTTGTAAGATTTTAGGATGCTTTATCCCTTATGAGATGTATGAAAAGGTAAAACTGTTAGCTCCCCATCACTGTAATAAATGTTTGAGATAGTTTGCATAAGGAGAAGAGTTTGTTTGGGCTCATAGTTTTAGTTCATGGAGGAGTGACTTCGTTGCTTTGTGCCTTTTGCAAAGCAAAGCATGATTTGAAAGAGGAGAGGGTGGCAGAGGAATTCTATTCTGTTCATGGCCAGATGCAGGAGAGAGAACAAGAGACCTGTGTCCCACTATCCTCCTTCTGGGCCCTCCCTATCTTTTAAAGCTCCACTACCCACAGTAGCATCATGCTGATGATCAAGCCTTTATTTAGCATGTGGGCCTTTAGGGAATACTACATATTTGATTGGTGGTGGTTGCATTTCTGAACCGAGACTGTTTGTTGTTTCTTTAGAGAAGTTCCTCAGATTGTATCTGACTAAGGATGTCACATGTATTCCTTACCCCTGCCCAAATGGTCAGTCCTGACTTCCTATGACAGTCCTTGCTTCTCTGGGGCCTGTGCTACTGGCTTCCAACAAGTGGTGTCCAGGGATTAATTCAGTCACCAAAATTTTATGTTTTTGCCATGTAAGGGGAGCTCGTTTGTTGTTGTTTGTTTGTCTAAAACACTCTTTAAATAATACATATCTTAAAAGGCAAGTCTAAGAGGAAATATAAATTTCAGCATCCAGGGTGGCGCACGCCTTTAATCCCAGCATGTGGGAGGCAGAGACAGGCAGATCTCTGTGAGTTCAAGGCCAGCCTGGTCTACAAGAGCCAAGTTCCAAGGCAGCTAGGACTGTTATACACAAAAACCCTGTCTTGAGAAAACAAAAACAACAAAAATTGCAGCACTCAATGAAAGCAAAAGTACAGTGTACCAATATTTTTTGAAATACATTAACCCAAAAAGGAAATTTATAGGCTTGCATTCGAAATAAGAAATAATCTCAGACCAACAGCTTGGGCTTTTTCGTCTGTAAAGAGGGAACTGATTAAAAAAAAAAAAAAAGCAAGAGGATATAACAGAAATGGTAAAATTGAAAATAATGAAACAATAAAATTTTTTTCTGAAAAATATTTTTAGTACTTGGATATTTCATGCATGCATGTGATGGTTTTTTGATCAGATCAACTCTATTCCCTTTCCTCCAGTTCCTCCCCTATCCTCACCACCATGTTTGCCTCCCAATATCATGTGCTTTTTTTCTTTCACCCGCTGAATCTGCTCTGTGCTGCCTGATGTGGTTTGAGACATCTGCTGGAACATGGAGGGGCCTGCAGCCCTGAAAAAAACCAACTCTGCTTCCCCTAGAAGCCATCAGTTGCCAGTAGTTCCTGAGATAGGGTGGAATCTCATGAGCCATGTCTAACAAATACTGTTATGCTACAACATTCACTAATTCTAGCTCTTAAATTTTCCCCCCGCTTCCTTGATGATTTTTAAACCTCAGGGTGAGATGTGTGATAAAGACGTCCCATTTAGAGCTAAGAACTCCACAGTCTCTTATTCTTAACCTTGGCCTGTTGTCTGCCTCTGCATGGAGTCCACCTATTACAAGAAGAGGCTTCTCTGATGAGAGTTGAAAGATGACTAATCTTTTGGTGTAAGAAGAGAAGAACTGTGTGGGGCGTGTAGTTTTTTACTGTCTATTTAACAAACAGTATTAGGTTCTCCCTTAGGGCCTACAACCTAAGCACCCGTGGAGTTTTGGTCTAGTTAGCAATACCAGGGTTGAGTACATCCTGTGGTGCGAGCTTTAAATCCAATCAGAAAGTGATTGATTACTCCCATAGCATTTAGTTCACTAATACACCAATGGGCAAATCTTGCCAGGCCAGTCATTAGGGTTCACAGTGGTGTACAACTGTTGGTAACTTTTCTTTTGCGGTAGCGTACATAGAACCTTCTAGCACTATGAAAGCTAGCCAATAGGGATGAGGAGGATTTATTTGTAAAAGCACTAGTTCTTAAAACATGAAGATTAATTCATTTTCTCTCTCTAATATTGGAAATTGAACTCACGGGCTCACATAAACTAGATGAGCAGCCTACTTCTGAACTCTGTGCCAAGTCCTTCCTCTGTGTACTTTTTGTTTGTTTGAGATAGGGTTTCACTAAGTTACTCAGGCTGGCCTTG